GTAGATAATCCTTATTCTGGTAACACAATTCTTGAAATAAGGCAGCTGCGGTTTGTACCGATGGAGGTTCGTTATGCTGAACTCTAATTAGTAAATTGCGTTTAATATTCATTATATTTATATATAGAATTTCTAAAATGTTTTTTCATATACACAATACTTACGCATACATTTGTAAGTAATAACGAACGAGATCAGCAATAAATTGTGTATCCGCAGCACTTCCAGATCGACAACAGTATATTTTGTCATGAATTGGAGTTAACTTGTCAGTAACACGATTGGAAATGTAAGAGCCCATGGTGGTGCGACTATCAGCTCCAATGACCACACCACCTTGAAACTCAACGGCCATGGTGGTCGTCTAAAAAATAAACAAAATGATGCATGTGGATATATACATTAATTCTCTTCACACAACTTAGTCTAGCAGTTGTACTTTTAACAAATATTAAGCACGATCCTCAGTAAAATGACTCGTTCTACATTTTTTAAAATTCTGACGGTAGCTTTCAAGTATACAGAAAGTAGTTGCTTTATTGTCATAAATTAAAAGTACTAAGAGAGCTCGAGCTGTTACAAAATACTAAATCATACCAACCCCCAAGTTAACTTCGTTAGGCTTCAATGACATTATTTAAACTGTAAAAGTTCTGAACGAACCTTTAGGTTTTTATATAACTGATATAAGTTGATCCGTGTAACATAGATCAAGTTTTTCATTTTGATTCATTTAATGACTCAAAAGCACGATCAAAATGTTCAGAATATTCACGCTTTTTTGTTCACGACGCATTAGTGTTAGAAAAAAAAGATTTATGTCGGATAAAACTCACTCGTCGGTCGTCAATACAACTGAGCGTCTTAATAAGTTACGTGCTTTATTCAGCGATTATGACATAACAGCTTAGTACGTACCTCTTTAAGTACTTATATATTTAGCAAAATAGTTGTTTGAACTTATTTCAACACGCAATTCTCTAGCATAATTCCTTCAGAAGATTCACACCAGGTACGAAATGTGCTTCTTTACATAAAAAATCTCTATTAATTGATCTTTTCATGCAGGTTCCAATGTTTTCACTAGTTTGCCTACACATTTAATTTTTGATTTTATTTTATTATACATTATTAAATTTACAAATTCTAGAGTGAATATGTTGCAGCCTGTGACGCTCGAAGGGCTTTCATTTCTGGCTTCACGGGTTCTGCGGGTAATTCACGCTAACAACGCGTATATTTGATAAATTATTCAGGGTTCATCAAATGACATGCTGCAAACAATATTTTTTTCTTAGGATTGGCTGTAGTGTCTAATGATGCAGCTGCACTTTTTACGGATGGTAGATATTTTCTTCAAGCGAGTAAACAGTTGGATAGTAACTGGAAATTGATGAAACAAGGTTTGCCGGATGTTCCTACCTGGCAGGAATATTTGGTGCAAGTGAATATTCATTGTTTACAATTGATTTTTGTCAATTTAGAAAAATAGATTATCATACCGCACTGATTAAAAGACCCAGGTCCTGAGGCAAATGCCTAACCAAAAAACTTATAAAGTACACGGGTATATTATATGAGTATTGTATATCAGTTGCAAACTGGGAAAATTTAAAGTGCATATACGTTTCTCATTTATGGCATGCACTTTAGGGCTTTAAGAGGGATGCTCATGATTAATGAAATTTTTGCGGTTTCACTCGGGTACTACATGGAGGATATAATAAATGGGATCTTTTAATCAGTGCGGTGCGGTAATAAAAATAAAAATAAAAATCATATACGCATATATTATTCGTATTTATAGAATCTTCAAAAAGGTTCGAAAATAGGAATTGATCCCACGCTAATTACTGCACGTAAGCTTATTTTGTTTATCTAATTTTAATAACAATATGTTAGTATTTACAGACTTTTATAACATATATTCATGCTTTTAAAGCTGATGCTAGATCATTATCCGACTCTTTGGAAAAAGTTGGCTCATGCTTGATACCTATTAGCCAAAATCTAGTTGATGTAGTGTGGGGAAATGAAAGACCTGCGCGTCCAAAAAATCCTGTCATAGTATTAGAAGAATGTTATTCTGGTAACGATATTATCTAAATTCGCATGCATTATTTATTAATATGATTGGTACTTCAATTTAATAATCTGATTACATATAACTAGGGCGTTCTCACACTGAAAAAATTGCAAATCTTCGTGGAGAATTCAAGGAAAATTTTTATGGGTTTATTGTGTCCGGTCTTGACGAGATTGCATGTCAGTAAATTTCAATATTTCTATTATATATTTATTAAGTTAACACACCGTCTAACATTCTTTGAATATATATATAGGGCTCTTTAATCTTCGTGGCTCTGAAGTTAAATACAATCCCGTTTTCTTCTCCTATTCACTCGTCACCAAGGATGAAGCTATTCTTTATATTGACGATCGTAAATTAACCAAGGAGGTTACAGATCATCTGGGACCTGATGTTAAATACCGACCTTACGATGCAATATTCGAAGATTTGCAGAAACATTCTGTCAAGTTGAAAAATGATAACCAGGTTGCGGTTCTATTCAACCTATTTACAATAACATTTCCTGCTATTTTCGGTTTTCTTCTTAATCATCAATTCCAATCTTTTTAAAGAAACTCCTTATAAGCACACGAACAAGCTGGGCTATAACTAGAGCGGCCGGTGATGTATGTATCCTCTTGAAATATTTTCAAATCACTTTGTTACAATTATTTTAATCAAGCTTATAATTAGAACAATGTTGAAGAAACTCGTTCACCTGTCACCGACGCCAAAGCAATCAAAAGTGAAGCCGAATTGGAAGGCATGAGACAATGTCATTTAAGAGATGCTTGTGCATTGGTACGTATTTGTACACGTGTATATATACATGCACTGATAGTTTTAAACTATATATTTGTACACAAGTATGTACTGATGATTTTCAAACTTTTTTTTTATTCATTAATTTATATCTCCATGCTAGATCAATTATTTTGCTTGGTTGGAAGAACAATTAGCAAAAAAGAAAGTTATAACTGAAGTTGATGGATCTGATCAACTAGAAAAATTTAGAGCGTATGTATTCGTTCTAATTTCATGGTCGTTAGTCAATATTAGGATATTCACTGGATTAAAAATTTTAAACCTTATTTTTAGAGAACAGGCTGATTTTATGGGTCTTTCCTTCGATACTATTTCCGCATCAGGCCCTAACGGGGCAATTATACATTATAAACCAGAACCAGAATCCTGTGCAGTAATTAATCCAAATCTTTTATACTTGTGCGATTCTGGTGGCCAATATAAGTAAGTCATTAATTTCCTTATAACTATTTACTTTCATATTTATTTTTATTCTTTTGATTACCAGAGATGGAACCACTGATGTGACACGTACTATTCATTTTGGGACACCAACCGAACAAGAAAAACGCGCCTTTACTCGTGTTCTTCAAGGACACATTGCTATCGATAGAGCTATCTTCCCTAAGGGAACTACGGGTGATTGTATATTTTGTTACCTATTTATAATAATCATTACAATAATCATTACTAATGAAGATTTGATTTTTCTTAAAATTCGGTTACTATAGGATATTTATTAGATGTGCTTGCAAGGACTTCTCTATGGAGGGATGGATTAGATTTTCGTCATGGAACAGGCCATGGTGTAGGATGCTTTTTGAATGTTCACGAGGGTAAGCCTTGATTTCACTTAATGATAAATTTTAATTGAAATAATATTCATAATTTATACGCGCTTATTTAGGTCCACATGGTATTGGTACTCGGATTGTATTCAATGACACACCGCTTCAAGCAGGCATGACAGTCACTAATGAACCAGGTTATTATGAAGATGAAAAATTCGGTATTCGTATTGAGACAGTCTTACTCGTCCGCGAAGTTGAGACACCAAATAATTTCGGTGAACGAGGCTATCTTGGATTTGAACATATAACACTTGTTCCTATTCAAACAAGTCTCGTGGATGCATCCCTCCTGAGTCTGACCGAGTATAAATGGCTCAATGATTTTAATGCCGAATGTCTAAAAAAAGTAGGACCTTTATTGAAACCAGGCAGTCCAGGACTTCGTTGGTTGGAGCGAGAATCTGCTCCGCTAAAATAATACTTGTCTATAGTATGACATTATCATTAATTATTAGATCAAGTCAAATAATTTGGTACTTGTTCATTTTTATAATGGTTTAATGGCTCTTGCTTGTATCGTTGTTTATATTTTAAATTAACTAGCGAACTTCAAACATAAATGTGCTAATTAAATTTATATCACTGTTTTTTAAAGTATTATAGCATCACGCTAATGCTGAAAATATTAATCCATTAAGAAAATAATTTATAAACGTCACCTTCGAAGAAATGGTTTTTCAATCATGCATTTAATGATTTTTGTTACTGTTCGTGCTTTTCTTATTTGGAGAACTCATTATAACAT